TCCGTCGAGTGTAACAATGTTTTTAGGTCACTTCTTTATCACATTTGCCTTACATGTTTCGGTTTAATAAAACCATCATCAGAGGCACATATTACAAACACATGAAAACACTGGCGTTGTTTAAATGTACACAGTATATATGCTGCGTGGACGCTGCTACAAATGTCGATGTGTAAAAGCACAACACTTGCTAGGAATATTGAATGCACGTTCAACTCTCGCATTCCATCCGAAATTGCCCTCAAATTAAACCGTCAATGTTAAAATATTTAAAAGTTTAAAACATTTGAAGTAAAATGTTAGGCTCCTCCTTGTTAATTCATCCCGATGATGGGAGATGTCAGCTTGAGGTTGTATAGGCTTATGGTCAGATGTTCCCTATGCGTTGTGTGTTGTGTACACACATCGTTCATTCATTTATTCTTAAATCCCTAAAAAAAAAGTATGGACTCTATTCACTAACCTCTTCAAAAGTTACTGCACTCTTTAATTTTCACTATACTTACATGTGATCTTGTGGAAGTTCATCATTTTGTACATTATAGTAGATAACGCAGAACTACCCTACAGCCTTAATACTGTAGTCTCACCTGCGTAGCTATCTCAATATACCTGTCAGTTCAGGCAATGTCTTCTAAAATAAGGCTCAAGGGACACCTGTAATTTGTGATACTTACAACCTGGAAGACAGCAGATGTTTCCAATCCCGGCATAATGTCCAGCATAAGTCGACAAGCTGCTATATTTAATTTTCGAGAATCTTTATTTGGATTTCCTATTCGGCTCCAATAGTTATCACGTAAATAATCATTCACCAGCTGAAAGACAAAATTGACACATATAAAGGACATACATAATCAATCAGTCCACATCTAAATCTATTTACTACTGTACCTTTAGTATGTACATAGCCCATGTTCCACAACACTACCACAACGAAAGTTATGTAACAGTTTGAGGCATATTACCTCAAGGCAGGAACTGAGGATCTGGACAAACAGTCATTGCTACGCAATGACTGTGAGAGGGGTGAATATACCAGACCTGTTTCTCGGCAACAGCTTGGTAAACACATTTCCGCTGCTGAGTGGCAGTTTCTTAATAAACCAGAATAGATGACTGTTGCTATGCAACAGCGCAATAAACACACACAACAATGGAAGAGCTATGTTTTCAATTTGGTCTGTGCAAAGGAGTTATAAAAAAGACAGCTGAGGTTTGGCAGTTCAAACCCGTGTGGAAGTGGGGTCGAATACCTCCACCGTAACCCTGAGTCACAGGATGCGACAAAAAGGGAAGTCTCAAATCTGAGACAGGAAATCATGTTAGTAGGTCCCAGGGAACTCAGACTTGAGAAAGACTGTGCTGGCAAGGGCCAGCAGCATATACAAAAGACAGACCCATCCTCTTACGAGAGAGGCCCCTCAAAACAAAACTGTAACTGTTAAACAGTAATAAATATCTGGTCGTGAGCCCCAGATGGGGCTCGACGTCAAGACTTACTGACTGACTGACTGTCAGTTGGAATGTGACTTTTGGCAGTGCAGGTGAGTTGAGTTTCAAGATGCCAGCCTGCAAGGATGTGAGCTTGGGAGCAGAGGACTGGAGAGATGGAATTGAATTGAGGAATTGAGGCATCAGAGTTACTGATTGCAGTTCAGCTGAGTTGAAAGTCTGGCTGTGAAGAAAAGACTTCCCATGTGCTGCAGTTACAGTGAGATTGGTTTAATCTCTGCTGTTAAAGCCTACTGCCAGGAAATGTCTAGACTGAGAAGACTTACTGTGTGCTGTAGTTACACTAATATTTGGAGCATGTAATTAAGTGGGACCATTACAGTTACTTGTAGTAACAGACTAAGGGCGTAACAGTCACCCTTATACGTGACAAGTTGTATGACAGTTATAATACAGATGTTTGCATCAACAGATTTTAATGTCACAAACTTCATCTGAATGACACAAATGCACACACACATGAATACACCTCACAGGGTTGACCACTGGGGTCAGGACATGCACATAACACAAAAGCACTTCACTAGCTAATGACTCAAAATTAATACCTCAACCCCATTAACTCAGCTGCTCACCAAAAAAATTATTTATTCAGTCACCCACACTCTCCTAAAAGAGGTCTGGTGTGGTGTTTAGGTTCCCTGGAGAACAATTTCACATGGAAATAAAAGTGCTTACAATTTTTTTTTAAATTGGAACTTCTTACAACAGGTTTTAATACAAACCTTATTCATGAAACTATCCTTGCGGAAAAGCACCTTCAGAATGTGCCCCAGAGCACAATCAGGGTCAGCACGTGATGGATGACGTTCATCAAAGGGATCGGGATCCATCTTCATGTAATTCTCTGTCTCAGCTTCAATAATTTCTGCCAACCTAAAAACATATAAATTTAACTTTCAACTTGTCTTCTGATGCTTGTATTTAAATATGCACTATAAGTTTTTCAGACATAAGTCTCTTCTTTCATATCATTTATCTCGAAACTTCATGGCTCATACACACTGTATGTGCGTAATCAAACACCGAGGCAAAAGTGGCAGCCTGGATCAAACCATAATTGAGTACTAGCTCACAGATTGTGATGAGCAACTACGTCTAAAACAGCTGCCAGGTTCTAGGAAAGATCTTCAAAGTCTGACCAATAATAAGATAAAGGTAAAGCTATCCCTGTAACAGGCTGAGAAGCCGAGGCTCCCACACTTTCTCTAGACAATTGGCTCACAGATGGCGGCAAGTTTGTCAGCCTTATGCGCCGGCAGCCATTTACGCCCCCAGGAAGATTCCTGGTCCTCATTTATGTTAGAGACTGAGACAACCCCAGGGCCATAGTGCAGCTGGAACAATTTGGTAAGTTGAAAAAATCCATCTCATTGGGATTTGAACCCGTGACCTTCTGGCTTGTAGCATAGTGCCTCAACCAATTACGCTACTGTGCCCCCCTAAACCAATAATAAGAAAGTTGTATAGTTTATGTAATTACTGAATTCTCAGTATTCGCTAAATGGCGCTAAAAATTTGGTCACAAAAATTACCTTCAAAATTTGTTAGAGGCCGAAACATGTAGTGTGGAGGAGGAAAAAGAAGTAAAAACTACAATAAAATTGTTGCACTTAAGACGGTATTTGTCCATATATATTGTGAGAGTGTAACAGGATGCTGAAATATAATATTGTTAGAGGCCATTACTGCCAACATAGAATTTACATTAATATAGTAAAATACTGCTACTAAATATATCAAGGTTTAATGACTGAATAATCACACAACCTGACATGTTTTAACATCAACTGTCCTCTTCTGGGGCAACCAATACTAAAGGAAATTCAAATATTTGAGTCATTTAAATTACATCTAATAAGTTCTTAAACATTTAAAATGAACAGTCCTGAAGTCCAATGATGGACGGAGGTAATGTTTTTATGTTGTATATAGTCAGTGCAATGCCAAAGGTTGTAGTTCATATGATAAACTTTTAATCATCCTTGAATGTCCATTTGACAGTATCTTTGGTCATCTCTGTAGTGGCCTACATGATCAAGATTTCCGTTATAACAATATAATATGGTAAAATTGGTTCCTACACATCAGTAGGGAAGTGCTATAATTCAGGAAGTTAGATACTTGTTTCCTACCACAGCATCCTGGGTTCGATCCCAGGTGAGTAATTCTAGGATATGTGGTGGATGAAGTGGCAGTGGGAGATGGAATGCCTTGGTTTACCTTGCCAACTCTCATTCCACAAGCTGCTTAATATTCTTTAATCATCCTATTATTGGTGCTTTGTAGTCTCAATACTGAGTGTTGTTATATAGCCAAAAACAATAACAATAAATGCTAATACTTGAAATTTATAGCTACTGGCAACCCACTAATAAACTAAATCGAAACTACATTTAGATTAAGGTACATAAAAGGCATTAATGTTACCTGGTGAGTGTTGGAACAGGATCATAAGCTTGTGCCTGATGCTCCTCATCCCAGTGTCGAAGTACTGTCATCACATCTGTAACTACTAACAATGGCTCCATCTTGAGGCTGTATTCAGCTTTCTTGCTCAAGTCTAGTTAAAATGAAATACTGTAATCAGCATGAGGTACAAGTATGGCATTAAAGGTGTGCCACAACGAATGGCTATTTGCATCTGTACATCAATTCAAAAGTAGACACAACAACCTGGGATAAAATAGATGTGCGCATGTGTCAGGTTTCAGTGGACTGAAAGTGATGATGAGAATAAAACCGTAAAATTATAACACAAAGATGGCATGTTAAAAAGGCAAAAATAATACAACAGGCTGTACAGATGCCTGTCATGGAAGGCTAAGAACATTAAAATTACAGCAAGAGACTTGACAACCCTACATCATTATGAATACCATATAGTTAAACATGATATGGAAATAACCTCCAAGATTGTCACTGAGCAATTTGACTCATGTGGTAATGTCTGTGACTTGAGTTGGGGAGGTGCACAGCTCAAATATTGGCAAAAATACCAATTATCCTGGCTGAGGATTTTCATGAGGATCCTCAGTTCTTCCAGGAAAATGTTAGGATAGCACCTCATATTAGGCCATGACTTTCTTCTACATCCTTTCCCATTCATTATTTACTGCCATCACTGCCAATCATTCCAAACTATGCTGTTTGCAGTACTGGCAGCATTATTAACATACTACAAATAAACACCATAGAATCCCAGGATGTCAAGGAATGTGCCATGAAGATGAAATGTAACATGTATATGATCATTTCTGTCATAATGTGGACATTCTACCAGGATGTGTGAAATGGCTAAGGGTAAACACAACTACACAACAAATGTCTAAATGTTGAACATGTTGGCATAACTTGTTGCTTTCTGAAAGCTGAAGGAAAAGTGCTACACCAGCACAGACGGTTTCAGCAGACTAGCCTCTTCATTATGCATCTACAGTGTCGAACTTATAACAGAATTCAGTTTAATGTCTGTTTTCTAGACCCTACAGAAACTATTGTAACTCGGGCAAAGTAGTCCCTGTAAAAACTATATCCCTGTAACAGGCTGTGGAGGCCCATAGGGTTGTGAGATGTTGAGGTTCCCACATTTTCTAGACAATCAACTCATAGATGGCGGGAAGGTAGTCAGCCTTACGCACCAACTGCCCTTTACACTCCAGAACATTCCAAGAATATTCCTGGTACTCATTTCTGTTAGAGGCTGAGTCGACCCCAGGGCCATAGCGTGGCTGGAAGGATCAGGTAAACTGAAAAAATCCACATCATCAGGATATAATCCCAAGTTGTCCCTGTGTTGAATTAATTAAGCACTACATCATGAAGACTTATACAGGAGGGGAGGCACAGAGCCACATATTCTTAACCTCAGCACTAGACGCAAGTGAGTAATCAGTTTTATGCTCCAGACACTTTACCACCAGAGAAAGAGTCCCCAGCAGCCAGTGGATAGCAGGCAGAGTCTGGAAAATGTCGAGAAGAGAAAATCTCTTGCTACTTCTGGGAAGGACCCCGATCCCCTAAACAACCAACCCCACAGCTAATCGCTATATAACCATGCTATCATGGCTCCCCTTATTGTAACATAATCCGAATTAATGTGAAGCACTCCAAACCCAACTTAACCTGTCACCAAGCAAAATAAGGACAACTAGATGACAACATATTGTAAATATATAAAGTTTCTTACTGACACCACCATTTTAGAGCTCACTAATGGACTATCAGCTATGCACACAAACCATGGTGCAGTATAATCACAACAGCTGGGCCACAACTCTTTACAGTCTCTCTTCTGTGTAACTGTGTCAACATCTAATAACTAATATGCAAAAACTCTGACTAACAGAACGATATTCATACATATTGTGACATGTTGACTCCTACCCCCCCAGCTGCACGTAGCTGTAACATAGCGCTCGCGTAATAGGCAAGTAATCACCCCGCATCCTGGTAGCTATGCAACGCGCGGTGACGTCACGAGCAGAGCCGAAGTGAGCCGAGTCCCCGCAACCTTGAAGCTATGCAAGCGAGTCAACAGCGGTGACGTCGCTGGGGGGATATCGCGGTTGCTAGGCAGCAGTCAACAACTCCGGACAGCGTGGCTAGCAACACGGACCAGACGACAATGGTCCGGACCGAGGCTACATAAGGAGCAGCGAAGGCTATTCACAGTCAGTCCTGGAGCTACCGCCGAGTGAGTCCCGGAGTTACCTCCGAGTGAGTCCTGGAGCTACCTCCAAGTTAGTTCCGAGTTAGCCAGCAACCAATCAGTTGTATTGTGGCATTTGGAGTGTACTAATTGTGATACTCCCCCTCGTTGGTGTCTCCACCTTATCGTGGTGAGGGGGTTTGAGTATGCCAAGGACCCTGAGAGCTATACCAGCGGTAGCGTAGCTACTGGCAGGGCCTCCCTTGCTGGACAGGTCAAAGGGTAGGCATCAGACGAAGAGAGACACCGAAAACTGATGCCGGAAGCAGCGTCATCAGCAGCGACTTGAAGCACAGAGAAAATGATGCTCGAGATGGTTCAAGTTCGTATAGCAACAGGCGTGACCAGAGTGGTTTGAACGGCTGTTGTACTGCGATGTGGAAAGCAAATGGAAAAACTACCGCATTATCACTATTCCTGGATAGTCTCTTTCCAAAAACAGAAGATCGCATTAAGTGGAGAAACTGTTTTGGAAGAGGCTGTGGACCTGTCATCTGACAGATTACTGATGAATGAATGAATTGTGATACTGCAGATAGCAGTAATCGTAAATCTGTAATTTGGGTGATTGTAAGTGCGAATGTGAAATAAAATTCGCTACATAAAATACGGCGTGAAGTTATTTGTCGCGTCATACGCCCAATACATGACAATATCATAACTCACTAAGTAAAATTAAGTAGGTCTGTGTGAAGGTTTCACTAATCAGCAAGTTTTCATCAGAAAAATAAAAAAGTACTGCCACAGTTTAATAATAATTTACTAACATTTGTAACTAGTTTATTTAGCCCCCTGTTCTGCTCATTAATAAAACACAGAAGATCTTCCAGTCACAAGGAGTGGCGGTTTACCGCCAATCAGTTATTCTTGGCGTCAGGCCCCTTGAGGCCCATGAGCAGAGATTATTCTTCCCAACTAAACTCTTGTGGTAATATTACTTATGTAACATCCTCTATGATGAGAAAATCAGTTTGTCTCTTATGAATATGCATGGAGTTTCATCAAGTGCCCATATTGCACATATAGCAGGTTACTGAAAATTCTTCCTTTTGCACTATATACAAGTCCTCTGTCAGTACTGGCTTTGCAAAGCAGATCATGCCTATCTTATGCTACAATGGCAGCTTAGACTCACAACCAGAGAACCCTTGTGGTAAGAGCCCTTATGTAAAATCCTCTGTGATGAGAAGATGGGTTTGTCCCCTATGAATATGCATGACCTTCCGTCAAGGGCACATACTGCACATATAGCAGCTTATTTAAAATTCTTTCTTTTGCACTATACAGAGTGTCCCAGGAGGAATGTGCCAAACTTCGGGAGGGTGTTCCTTATGTTATAGTATGCCGATATAACCCAAAACACCTATGTCCAAAGTTGAACGGTTACGGAGATAATGGCCTGAGAAAAGTGTGGTCTTCTGGCGAGTCCACGCACTGTACCTGTCAGCTGGCATGTCTTATCTATGTTTGTCCTTGAGTGTGGTGATTCACACTAGCCATAAGCTCCCTTCAGTATACGTTGTGGCCGCATTTTGAATTGGTGGTAGGTTAATTGTGTGGAATTGCTGAAATGCCTTTTGTGTTTTCAAACGTGGAATATTGTGATATGCATTTTGTGTGTGGATTTTGCACGTGCTCCTGTTGAAGAATACCAAAGGCGTTTTCACGATCGAAGAATTACACGTCGAAGTGTATTTATGCGAATTCACCAGACATTGCATGATACTGGTTCTCTTCCGAGTGTTTCTGCGCGCTCTGAAAGGGAGGATGTACAAATGATAAACACATGAGAGAACGTTCTTGAGATTATTCAGAGAAGTCCGCGTCTGTCCACTCGTAGAATGGCCTCTCGCATCGGCGTATCACGTATGCAGGTGTGGCAAACTTTACATGATGAAGAGTTGTATCCTTACCATGATCAAAGGGTACAACATCTGGAACCAGGCGACCATGCTCAGCGTATGGATTTGTGCCACTGGATAAAAGCTCATCCCAAACTGTTAAGCATCATTTTATTCGGTGATGAGGCGTCTTTTACCCGGGACGGTGTAAATAATTTACGAAATGTGCATATGTGGTCCCATAATAATACACATGAGATAATGGAAATGAAATTCCAAGAGAGATTTTCCGTGAATGTACGTTTAACACAGTTATGTAGTCTGTTTATACCACTATGCGCAATCAGCCATGTTACATCAGCACTTGCCAGTCATGTGTCATGTATAGTGCTTGGAAACCTAAGAACAATTATGACATGGCGAGCGAGTATTTTGTACTTCAATTTTATGGCTTCATGTCACTCACAAGTTAGTTTGATGTTATGTACATTATTAACATTAGAGAAACCCATATTCCTGCCAGTTTTAATATGTATTTTGTAATCAACAAGTGTGTAACACCGGTCAAAGTTTCACACTTCTCTGGCCATTATCTCCGTAACCATTCAGCTTTGGACATAGGCGTTTTGGGTTACATCGGCATACTTTAACATAAGGAACACCCTCCCGAAGTTTGGTACATTCCTCCTGGGACACTCTGTATACAAGTCCTCTGTCAGTACAGGCTTTGCAAAGCAGATCATGCCTATCTTATGCTACAGTGCAGCTTAGTCACTTGAACACTAATAAACTTGACCACCCCTAAGTTTAACACGCGCACACATGCACATTTATATATTACGACCAACAGTCCCAAAGTCAAAGTCCCATTGCGACTGATGGTCTGTCAATCAGTCAATCTTGGTGTCAAGCCAAATCTGGGGCTTATGACCACATATTTATTACTGTTTGATAGTTTTGGTCCTGTTTTTGTGGAGGGCCCTCTTTGACGAGAGGACAGGTATGTCTTTGGTGAGAGTCATGGTCTGTAGTAGAAAGTCATGTCATAATTTTACATCTTACATGTTAATAAATGTATATAAAAAAATATACAGGGCCTACAGCAGTCTAGTCACTTGAACGATCGTATGCATACTAGAGTCTACTAGGCATGGACCGCACAGAAAATACAGTTTCCAACAGTTACTCCACTACTGCCTGCGTATCCGTTGCCACGGAAACTTGTTTTCCCAGCCAATGCTTCGAAACGGACCATGCAACCGTGTCACAATATGTTGATTGTAGATGGAAACTGAAAAGCTGTCGTCTGTATTGAAGTTTCAAAGTTGTTAATATTCAACATCAATTTAAACGAATCAAAATTTAAATTCTTGGTTACACCTGTTTCATAACCTGAGGTACGACATGAAAATGAACTCACGTCTGTGCCAAACACAATTCTGGGATATGTAAACATACATTTCTACACTCTAAAACAATAAAATTACGACCCAATAATACTCAGTTATGACTATATGAGTACCGACCTATTGCTACGCTTAGTCATACAAATTCTACAAAAGTAAACAAAACAAGGTTAGGCTAGCACACCAAACGTGGAAGTCTACATTACAAAGAAAGTATAAGGCACATATATCTAATTACCAGCGTCTCAAATATATCAGTAAAAAAAATTGACTTCTGTTGTTACTGCTGAACCTTGTACTGTGGAGCTATGTTTAATCGAGACATTACATTTTCTGTAACAGACGTTATCACATACACACACAACCACTCTCTTCCATTTCATACACACCGATACGAGCTACGGCCATGATGGGCCATGACTGTTACCAATCGTATGCTGAAAGTTTCCCTGATGTTTCCCGCTGCACTTGCTGTATTCCTGTAAACCGTGCTCTATGTCAACGTTGAAGTAAATTCTACCAATGTAAAGTTGTCCCTTTAACCAATCAAACTGTTGCATTTCAAAGTGAAGCCGGTTTAAAAATATTGTTCCGAAATTTGACACGGATGATATTTATGTTAGATACTGATTTGCAATGAATATTGATCGTTAAGTAGGTGATTTTAGCCAATTATCTATGCACAGCAGTGAGAAATTGTTTTTTAGTAATTTTTTGCACCACTGCAAATTTATGTAACAAGAAGCAAAGTTCCAGCGTGTATTCGCTATGAAGACGTTGCATTGTTCCAAGTGTATTCGGTTACGTTGAAATGCTTGTTAAAGCAGCATTCTATATGGAAGATCTAAGTGTTTAAATTATTATCTGGTAAATCGTCCGGATGGTTACTGTTTCCGTCTTCAGAATATATTCACTGAAATTCACAAATTTTCACCATTGTTTAGTCAAGAAATGCGTTACTAGTAGGCGTGTCATGTCCCTGCTTGCTTTCTTGCTTGCTTACTTACTTATGGAGCTGAGCCCTTCTTAAGGAGTCGCCAAATCTGCATCTATTGAAGAATTTTCCAGCATTTTATGGAACCAGAAGGTTAATTGCCGTGTTCACAAGAACCCTTCCCTGGTCCCTATTCTGAGCCAGGTCAATCCAATCCATACCATCCCATCCTATTTCTCTAAGATCCTTTTAATATTGTCCTCCCACCTATGCCTTGGTCTTCCCTGTGGTATCTTTCCTTCTGGCTTTCCCACCAATATCCTATATGCATTCGTCCCCCCATTTGTGCTACATGACCTGCCCACCTCATCCTCCTTGACTTGATCATTCTAATTATACTTGGAGAAGAGTACAAGTTATGAAGCTCCTCACTATGCAGCTTTCTCCAACCTCCTGTCACTTTATCTCTCTTCGGTCCAGATATTCTCAACACCTTGTTGTCATGTCCCTGTAGCGTTCTTAATGTTACACTTTCTGTAAAGGCTGGATAGAATGGTGGTATTAGTATGTATGCTTGTGAGCATGATTTTTAAAATAGTTGTACCTGATACTGTGTTCTGCCCAGTAATTTTTCAGATTAATATTGTCGCGTGTAGGCTGCGGGACGCAACAAATAACTTCACACCGGTCTTGGATCTGGCAAATTTATTGCACACCGTTATCCACACTTACACAATTCAAAATTTCAGTGACCCAGTTACTTCTTCTGCTATAGTCAATTTCAGGCTTCAACTGTCTTTGGCCACTGCTACCCCTTATGTAGGACTCTCGCGGACCACACAGAAAACAGCCTATATTGTTGGACGTGTTTACCAACCGATTGCCTAGCAACGGTCACTGCACGGACTCCACTGTTGCGTGATGTCACAGCCTAGCAGGGAGGGGTGTGTACCGAGCGTTGCGCAGTGATGGGATGAGTGGGGATATGTGACGCCACCTGCACTTCCTGTTGCGCTATCCCAAGAGTTCACAGAGTTGTCCCCTAGCAACGTGCCGAAACAATCCGCAACTCTCTCGTTGCGTGTGTGCCCCAAGGCCTCTGTGGCTCAATAGTTCCTGCATAGAGCAAATATGCCACAATATTTTAAAGTGCAAGTGCATTGGATAGTGTAATTGTCAAATAGATTTATATGAGAACTATACATTCTCAAACGAATTATCTTGTCATACTGTATTCAGAAGTTTAGTTATCTTCGAACATGACAGTAACAGTTTACTGCAGAGCTGGCAGAAACTGTATACTGTATAGTGAAAATACAAGTCTATTACCTCCTTTAAATTAAGAAATCGGAAAGTACTAAATTGGAAAAGGCAGGAAAGCCAAACGAGCATACTAATCTGCACAAGTCTCACTTCAGACAACTGCTTTGTTACTTTGGCATTTACTCCCAACATAGGGTTGATGTAAGGTGGGAAATAATTTACATAAGATTAGTGCTGGGCCTGGAGCAACATTCTCGAAATCTTACATAAGTAATTTCCAGTGCACATCTACAAGTCAGCCACGGCACAGATTATGACATGTCTGTAAGCATGGACATAGAATAGTGTTGGACCATGATATAGGACAGTATAGCAAGAAGTTTGGTTGACAAGCTGCAACATGGTCAATGTATTGTGATGTATTGCGCTATGCAGGACACCCTCTCCCCCGCCAGCAGTGACGTAACACATTCGGAGCGTTGCCGCTGCTACGGTAACGGCCAGTCAACACACCGCCCCCTCCCCCGCGGTGACGTAGCGGGGGATGCCGCATTTGCTATGCAGCAGTAAACAACTCTCGATAGTGTTGCCCAGCAACACCTGTAAACACGGCGTCAGGCAACAGCGGTGCCTATCACATAACTGTTTTCTGTGTTGTCCGTGCCAAGGCTAAATAAGGATCAGCGAACACTATTCAGTAGTGAGTAACCAGACAGTTGCAGGCTAGCCTACCCCGGAGACAGTTGAATGGATTCGCCGAGATCTGGTTGAACAGCAACTGAGATAGTGAATTGTATGAGGTTAAGATTGTATAACTGTGAATTGTATAAATGTGGAGTGAATGTGCAATAAATTCGCTATCTCAAATAAGGCGTGAAGTTACTTGTCGCGTTATACACACAACACGTGACAGTATATTGTCCTGGCTGCTGCTCTTCAAATTTGTGTGGGACAGCTATGTGAAGATGAAAGTGTCTGACACACTTCTGGGTCCCATACTGTTCAGTGGCGAGGTATGAAATAATGCAAAGATGCATTTTTACTTTTTCCATTCCAGTGAGACTGATCATGTGGTAGCAGCTCTTCATGCCATTATAAAGACCTGTATGGTACATCTGGCAGTTATCTAGGATGATTCTGGTTACAGTAAATCACATATTCAACAGAGATGTGAGGCATGTTCAGGTGAATGTAGTTTTAAGAATCAGTTTTATATGATTATTAGCTTTTACAATTTTCAGGTTTCAGAAATGTCTATGTGTTTGTGCTATTGATGCAGTACAGGGCTGCAGCGGCAGCTAGTATATTTTTTAAACAGTGAGAAAATATGGAAAAGGACATAATTTGTGCGATTGTTCATTATGAGACTTGGCCTAGGATGAGTACACACTGTAAGTTTCAGAATCTTAATAATTTACATGAAATAATATTCTATGCCATGCATGCTATACTAAAGGAGATGTGTGGATAAGCTGTGCAGACACACTTTGAATAAATACAAGTTCATGCTTTCCACATGTGAACTTTGAAATCGAAAAGCAATAACTAAAGCACAGTTCCCATTGTTTATCACTTGTGAATAGGCTGTATGAACTAATAAAATATTTTTTCATCATCTACATTTCAACTTTGTTTGTATGCTCTCTGTAGTGCTCAAATATTATGAGGACTTCACCTCATGGCCAAAGTCATAGCTTCTTTCAGTTTGCTTTCTTTTTAACTTGCTTTTCTCTCTAGCTTCTTGGGCTCTTCCTGATGTATGTGTGTTGAAGTGCCTTAATAATCCCAGCACCAGAAAACAAAATAACTGATAACAAAAACATGAGGTCAAGCAACATGATGATAGGCCAGAGTCAGATGGGTGGCCAATTGGAAAGGGCGTTGCTTTTGGAGACTGATATATACCAGTGACATATGGTCATTCACCGTATCAGTCCTGATAATGGAGATGGAAGGGACCTCCATTAACACGACTGATCAGGCCGCTCCATAGCTCAAGCAGTTAGTTGCTGGCTTCCCACCACGACGGCCCGGGTTCGATCAGGTGGGACTTGTGGTGGACAAAGTGGCGCTGGGGCAGGTTTTCTCCGAGTACTTCGGTTTCCCCTGCCAATCTTCATTGCACGGTTTTCTCCAAGTACTTCGGTTTCCCCTGCCAATCTTCATTCCACCGATTGCTCCACAATCACCCTCAGCTGTCATCTGGGGCTCGTACAATAGGCGAGAAGTGCCCGCAGTACAAAGTGGACTCAGTCCCACCCCACCCAGTAATAAAAAAATAATAACACAACTGATCATCTGAGAATATGAATATATATATTAGCATGTTTGGCAGAAAAGCTTCAAATCTTATATTAGATGTGCAGTTAGTACAATTACATCTGACATCCACACTAGTGATATTATGTTTCATTTAGAAACAGACTTTAATGACACCTGCCATGTTGGTTGTGTATAGAGATGTGATCAATCTCTACTCATGTGGTGGATTCAGTAAGTAATGGGGATAATACATTGATATTGTGGCAGGGAGGCTAGAGTCTGCTTACGCATATCAAGAGTTGCACACCTACACACACAATGGAACCGTTTATTCACTGTTATGCTTCAATGCATGATGGGCTTCATGGAAGTGTTCGGAGTGAGAATATGGATAATTACTCCAAACATCAAATTAGGCTGATGATGGAAACCCAATAGAGGCTTCATATTGTGTGTGGCAAACAGTGTCTTGCGCACACCCAAACAATGATCATGACGTTCAAGATCATTATATGGTAATATTATTATATTAGAATTCCATTGTAAAAAAACAAATTGGCTGAAGTGATAATGCTTACAAACTTGCATTCAGGGTTTGAATCCCAGTCAGGACACCTACTATCCTGATTGAGATTTCTCATTATCTTTTTGGAGTCCCTCTAGGCAAGTTGTAGAATATTAGCTACCACTCCTAGAGGGAGGCTCCTTGTAATTATTTCACTTGCTTACATGTGTTGTAGATCGTTCATGATGTGTATTTGTACCAACCGTCTTACAGTGCACACAATTTCACTTTTCTCCTCACTATATGTTTTGGCACTAATGTGCCATCTTCAGGTGTGGTTTTATTTACGTCAAACCATTGCACTGTATGCCATCATGTCTCCTTTATAAAATGATTAAAATGTATATATGTCATGATAATAAAGTTTATATAGTAAAACTTTTCATGATTTATCATCTATACGTCGCACTTAAAATCCGCGAGTTATGTCAATCCTCTCCTATGGGAGTACTCTTCCTATATTCTTGTATATATTGTGTGCTGTGTTGTGTCTCTCCCTTGTGACTGCGCATGTGTGTGTTGTAGATGTTTCATTTAAGCTATTTAAATAGTTCTTTTAAGATACTACCATCACAACAAAAAAACTCCATGGCATTTATCCGCAAGCAAACTATACCGACCGAGTGACTGCCGTTTGTTGGTGAAGTTAGTGACAATTTTTATGGAGAGAGGGTATTGTGTGGTCAGCAAAAGATTTTCTCACAGTCATTAATCTTGGTCTTCTAGACCACAGCTGCTACTTTTCCATTCAAGTAGCTCCCCAATTATCCTCACAAGGCTGAGTGGACCCCATTCCAGACCAACTACTTCACAGAAAATGTGGCAGCGCCAGGAATCGAACCCACAATCTCTGGATCTGTAGCAAGGAATTCTGACCACTAGACCACAGAGGCGGTTTACCATTACAACAGCCTAAACAATTTATCAATTGTAAACATCTTCATTTTGGACATAAAATCTGGACAATGTACACTTCAGTTGGCAAATGTTTCAATTGAATTGTACTGCGGAAAGATGCTCCAAATGATGCTGGAAAGAAGTGACTTTGGGATTATGAGTTGTTCTGAATAAGTAGTAGTCTGGTAACCCTGAAGACCATGTAATATACAGGATATCTCTGAAAGAGTGTACACATTTTAAACATTATTGCCGAGAAATAAAAATAGAGCAAGAAGAGTACAGTTTTCACCACATGAAACAGCTACTCAGAAAGTCTCCCCTCCCCCCATCTTTCTTTATTTCACAGCACTTCGAACTAAGCTTTCTTTGCTGCTCACACAATGTCCATCTGGCATTCAAGTACCCTGAAATTATTGCCACACATCTGAGACGTGATTCCTTCCACAGAATGGACAATGAGTTTGTTCAATAGTACTATCAGCACCGTGAGAGGAAACTGTACATGCAATTGTCCTTGCAAATGAGATGAAACCAACCCTTTTTATTATATGTGATTTAATTTAAATGGTGCCAGGTTCATTTGGATCAATGACAACAAAACGTTTGAAGTGAATGTCTTGGTTCATTGAGCTTGTACATTACATGCAACTCTCTCCTAGTGGTAATAAAAAATGCCAGCAGCGATAGAAAATGTATGTTTTTTTTATAGAAAAATTAGATAACAATTTGAGAAAAAATTTCCAATCCTGTATCAACTTAGGGCGCATGGTACCAGCACCTAAGTATATATGACAATTTTCTGTATTCTGTTGTGAATTTAAAATTTATTTTGCATTCTACAGTTCCATAGTAGGAAAGCCTGTTGGACACAGAATAAGTCATACAGGAATACAGCAAACTATTAAAAGCTGTATGCATTAGATATAACTCATATAATGGGCAGTTTTCATCATAATATGGATAACATGGAACCTACCGCTATCACAGACCTTTACAGAATGATGTATTTTCCTCCAATTTAGAAAAAAAAATATAGCATATAGTGAAATAAATGAGACACCACGCATGAACAGCAACTCAAGGTCACTGACTGTCATGCTGTACTGTGAATTAATTCAGTTGTTCCAACTTATTCCATGCAACAAATATTAAAATTTTAGATACCAGCACTCTTAAGGAGAACTCCAAATTTGAAGTGCTTTACAGTTTTAGGGTAAACATATGAATGGCACACTTATCAATGTTGTTCCCTGAGGATATTAGCAAGAATTCCTGATGACAAAATATCATATCAAAGACTCACTGGATGAATAGTGTATCAACTAAATAAAGGTTACTGATTTAATTAGCCTTGATAATTCTGACAATAATGCCTAATGAACAGCAGTTTAAATGGAAGTCATCAGAAAAATGTCCCAAATATACTTTCATGATAAATTCTACATGCAGCCATCAAATATGAAATGTGTGATCTAGTCATGAGACCTGCTGTATAAATCATACTCCTTAACAGAGATCACACGCTGTTCCAAACAGAATTATGTTAATACACAAAACACGAAATTCTACTTCTTATGAATCTATAGAAGTTCAATGTTTAGAGTACACTTTCTGACTTTCCTATTAACACATGCTAGAATTCTCCTAGGAATTCATAGAAAACAAAAGTTTCTGCATTTGAATGCAACACACGTTCCTACATTAATCTCATATTCACAGCCACATGAGTAAGCTCAATCATGTCTCTTATTTGTGTACTACACTTTCAATGAAAACTTCACACACATGGAACAACAACACTTCACAAAGGTTCAAAATTGTGGTGCAGCTCCTCAGGTATGCATCTGGTTTAGCCAGTCAAGGTGTACCCCACACAAAAAGCTGTCAGTGAACAACGTGCTTAACTGCATGTTTCTTCAGATTATGTTTCCTAGTAAAACTGGAACCACAGACATCACAACAAAATTCCTTCTGTCCAGAATGGACAATTGCATGTGTCTTAAGATGCCAATGCTGAGCAAAACTCTTACCACAGATGCTACACACATGTGGTTTCTGACCCTCATGAGCAGCTATATGAATCTTCAAGGTGTTTTTCTGAGAAAAACATTTACCACATAGACTACAATTGTATGGTCTTTCTCCTGTGTGAAGTAATGCATGTGTCCTGAAGTTGCCTAGCTGACTGAATCTTTTGCCACAGATATCACACACATGTGATTTCTGCCCTGTATGGATCAAAATATGGGCCTTCAGATGGGTAAGCAATGTGAACCTTTTGCCACACACTTCACACACATATGCCTTCTGTCCTGTGTGTGATATAGCATGTTTCTTCAGACTGCTACGCTCCGTGAATCTCTTTCCACAGACTTCACATACATGTGGCCTTCTCCCCACATGTCTTGATACATGTTTCTTCAGTCTACTCTTATGTGCGAAATTTTTACTACAAATATTACAGGGGAACAAACCCTTAGCAGTTATTATAACTGGATCAACTGCTGCTGAGGTATGACTCTGAGAAAGTTCCTCAGAGGGTTGTGTATTGAGCTTCTCAATTCCTTCTACTGTAAAGCGGGGTTGTTGTGCAGACTCTTCGATGTCTTTCAAGGTTGAAGAAAACCTGCATTAAAAGAAAACAGCTACCACTAAAACACATTACAACCGCTCCTTACTAATGTACTGACTACTGATATTAACTGCAAGAAGAGGGCATGAGACTTGGGGTGTGGTTTTCAATGGGAAGTAGATGGAAAATTAGTGGCATGTGTCTTGTCCTTTCATCCAATGAGCCTCAGTTCCAAAAGTGGTGACTCAGAGTTTTCCCTTTGATATAATTACAATATATAATGACATCAATAGAAAAACCTGGCAGCCTGAAGGATAGCATTGTGGGCTCTTACTGTGGAGGTCTTGGGTTTGATCATCTAAGCTTAGAGTTTTTTCCATATCAGGAACCACATATTTAACTTGTTCAGGTGTAAATATGTTCATACAATATCAAAGACTGACAACTGAGATATATAAATTAATTTACATTCATTACTTCTTATCAGTATTAATACAAAACATGTATTGAAATATCATAACTGTGTAACTAGCTGGAGTACTAAAGTAAAAACAAATTTCTGTTTGCACAAACTGCCAACAAAGTGGTGATGGACTGCAATGGAGAAACTTCATTTTGGGGGGGGGGGGGCGCATATGGCCAAAACTCACATCTGGCACAAGTACCATATTCAGTACCTACTGTGTTCTCCATGAACAGCTATGAATAAATGGAAAGATCTTTCAGTATGGTACACACCATAGGAGCAAACTCAACTGGTACATGTATAATGTTCTAGAAACGTGAATACAATCAAATAAAAATGTTGCTTAATGTCACTTTC